AAAAATGGGGAAATGCAGAGACGAGGATGTCTTGGAACAGCTGAGGACTGAGCACCTCAATCCCGAGGAGCTTGAGTCTCTCACCAAGATATGTTTAGAATATCAAGATGTATTCTATGTGCCAGGAGACCAGTTAAGCTGCACTGATGCAGTAAAACATTCTATAAATTTGGTACCGGGGACGTCACCTTTAAATACGAGGCCCTACAGACTCCCGGAGACCCAGAAAGAGGAGGTAGACAGACAGGTCACGAAGTTGCTACACGAAGGGATCATAGAAGAAAGTGATTCCCCTTGGAACAGCCCTGTACTTGTGGTACCCAAAAAGGGGGGCGCGAATGGTGAAAAACGATGGTGAATGGTCGTGGACTTTCGAAGGTTGAACGAGAAGACAGTGGGGGATGCCTACCTGCTGCCGGACATAACAGAAATTTTAGATCAGTAAGGACAATGTAAATACTTTTCATGTTTGGACATGGTAATGGGGTACCATCAGATCGAGTAAGAAGAGAAAGATATAAGAAAACAGCGTTGAGCGCCAAACATGGCCATTGGGCATATCGGAGGTTACCTTTTGGGTTAAAGACAGCCCCAGCCACATTCCAGCGGATGATGAATACCGTCCTTAGTGGGTTAACTGGAACGCGATGTTTCGCATTTTTGGACGACATTGTTGTGTATGCCAGATCACTAGCAGAGCATGATATGAAATTAAGAGAAATTTTTGAAAGGTTGAGGCGATACAAATTGAAACTGCAACCTGAGAAATTTTAATTTTTTAGGAAAGAAGTGAGCTACCTTGGGCACGTAATCACTGAAAATGGGGTGAGACTGGACCCCGCCAAGATATGCGCTTTAGAGAATTTTGAAACCCCCACCACCACGAAGCAATTGAAATCGTTTCTTAGAATGGCAGGTTACTATCGGAAGTTTATCCAAAACTTTAGTAGAATTGCGTCACCCTTACACTGGTTATTGAAGAAGGATGCAAAGTTTGAGTGGACGGAGGCACAGGAGCATGCATTCCACAGGTTGAAATCCAAATTAACCACCCAGCCCATACTTCAATACCCTGATTTTTCGAAAGAATTTATCGTCACCACGGATGCGAGTGACGATGGTCTAGGGGCCGTGTTATCACAAGGGGAGATAGGAAAGGATTTGCCGATAGCCTATGCGAGCCGAAGCCTGAACAAGGCTGAGACGCATTATACCACCAGCGAGAAGGAGCTTCTTGCAATCGTCTGGGCGGTAAAATACTTTAGACCCTATTTGTATGGTCGCAGATTCAAAATAGTAACCGACCATAAACCACTTACTTGGGTAATGAATGTCAAGGACCCAGGATCAAGGTTACTCCGGTGGAGAATTAAACTAGAGGAGTATGATTTCGAGATACTCTACAAAAAGGGTTCATTGAACACGAACGCGGACGCACTCAGTCGGATAGGTAGTTTGATGAAAGATGACAAGAGGGTCGATTTGGACGAGGACACTAAGAAACAAATTCTGTATGAATTCCATGACGCACCCCTGGGTGGGCACAGGGGCATGAATAAGACTTACAAGGCGATCAAAGAGCGTTATGCGTGGGCTAACATGAGACGAGAAATCGAAGACTACGTGAAGAAGTGCCGAAGTTGTCAGGTGAACAAGTTACTAAAACCCAGGAAAAAGGCTCCGATGGAGATAACGACTACGGCGGATAATCCATTCGACAGGTGTAGCCTGGACATAGTAGGACCACTGCCAGAAACTGAAAAGGGAAATAGATATATTTTAACGTTTCAGGATGATTTAAGCAAGTACGTGATCGCAGCACCGATGCGCCACCAGGACGCGGAGACGGTAGCTAGGGAGTTTGTGACGCAGGTTGTTCTCAAATATGGGACTCCGAATACGGTGTTAACTGACCAGGGCGCCAACTTCCTCAGTGACGTGTTTAGGAGCACGTGCAAGATGCTTAAGATCAAAAAGATTCAGTCGACCGCATTCCATCCGGAATCGAACGGCGGACTCGAGAGGAGTCACCGTGTATTGGCAGAATACCTAAGACACTATGTAAAAGAAGACCAATCGAACTGGGACGAGTGGATACCGTTTGCCATGTTTACTTATAACACGACCGAGCACTCAGCCACGGGTCATACACCCTTCGAATTAATTTTCGGTCGCAAGTCTTCTTTACCCTCAGCACTGGCGGACAGCCCAAGTCCCCAGTACAACTACGACGACTATGTAGCAGAGTTAAAAAAGAGACTGCAAACAGCCCATCAGGCTGCTAAGGAAAACTTGTTGTCGAGTAAAATCAGAAGCAAGGAACATTACGATAAGGAAACTGAGAGATTAGAACTCCAAGAAGGAGACAGAGTATTGCTGTATGACGAGACAGTGCGACGGGGGAGATCGAAAAAACTAAGCTCCCAGTGGATAGGACCTTACGAAGTTGTAGCTATAGACAAGGTCAATGTTACCATTAAGAGGGGAAAGAGAGTGCAAAAAGTGCATGTAAATAGGGTGAAGCCGTTTTACTAGGAAGATAAGGGAACTAGGAAGATAAGAAAGTTCTAAAAATATATATATATCTATATCTATATATACATATATACCATGTGTGGCAACAAAAGAATAGCAGCACCAACTTTCTTTTGCAGATGGGAATCCAAACGATAGCGCTGATAGCGTGGACGGTATGGATGGTTATAGCAAGGGGCGTGGCGTCAGACATCGACGACTTAGGATATACCTTGGAAAAGTACAAGGAATCGCCAGGTATCTATTATGAAAACATAGGCCAGGCAAACTTCTACAACACGAACTGGAGGACCATAGTGTATGTGGACCTTAAACAAACCGTCAATCAGTCGGTAGGAATAGAACAATATATTAAGCACATAAGCAGACTGTGCCACGAACTCGCGGTAAAGAACCAGACGGAGTGTAATTATTTCCATGACATAGCAGAACGTAAAATTCGACAGATCAAGGGGACTGAAAAATTATTGCTAGAGGTAACTGATCCAAAATACAGTGGAAAACGCATAAGAAGGGGAGTACTTAATTTCGTTGGTGAAATTAGTAAGATTCTTTTCGGAACTATGGATAATGATGATGCTAAATATTACAATGAGCAGATACGACACTTTGAAGAAAATTCTGATAGCATGACGAACCTGTTGAAACAACAGTTGTCTGTAGTAAAATCCACTCTAGGGGCCATAAACGAAACCCTCTCGGATATGGAGTACAATGAGGATGTCGTAAAGAGGGGACTATCCCAAATTAAGGCGTATGTAGAATCAGTGATTTCAAATACCACCCGAGTTACTGATGCTTTGGCTGATAAGATTACGGTAGAAAGCCACATTGCACGCGTGAATGAGGCATTGAATACTTTACAAAGAAGCCTCGATGTAGTGATTGATAGCATTATCAACGCGAGGAAGGGAATTCTGCAACTGCAAGTGGTACCTCCCAGCCTCCTGATGGATGCCTTAACACGTAGTTTCCCGTCTTTTCCTAAGGAAACTATGGCTCCCTTCCCCTTGAGCAAAGACTCTATAAACTTACTGCTTAAAATTTGTGATATACATGTCTATTTGAGTGATGGTATATTGGGTTACGTGGTAGAGTTACCACTGGTGAACAGAGGAAATTTTAAGATACTCAAAATGACTCCAATACCAGTAGCTCTAGAATTAAACAAGTTTCTGTACATTGATACATCTGAATCCATGCTGTGCCTTGATCAAGCAAGACAATATTACTTAATGTTAAGCGAGGACGAGCTAAGGCAATGTAAGACCAAGGACTCCAACTCATATGTGTGCAAACAAAAACATCCTTTAATGTCTAGCCATGTACATGAGTCTTGTTACATTAGGCTACTGCAGTCAAATGAGAGGATCCCAAGGAGTTGTGAAACTAGAATAGCGAAATTAACTAATACTGTATGGGTACAGTTAATGCATAACGAATTGATATATTTCTCCCCTTCCATAGACAGTGTAACAGTGCTATGTGACGGGAAGGAACCTGCTGACGTGTTGCTTACAGGAGTGGGAAAATTAAGTATCAATAGTGGGTGCAAAGGGTATAGCACCTCGGCGTTGCTGCAAACCAGTTTTACTGTAGCCAGTAATTCATCTGTGAAAGGAGGAGACCTGCTCACGCAAGTCCCCCTCCGATTTGATTGTTGTGAGGAACTCAATATGAGGGTCAACCTTAGTAGCATACATTTAGATATGAAGTTCAAGCAAATTGTTTCCCACTTAAATGATTTGAAATATGCTAGTTTCAAGGTTTCCGACCTAGAAAAGGAAATACAGGAACAAGAATGGAAAAACAAGCACATCAGCAGCCATATGTCCTATTCTGTAATGGTATATATTATTTTTGCAATTAATGGTTTGTATGCACTCTACAAACTGTATAGGTATGTAAGGAACCGCTGGTTACACGCCGGCAACCCCAGGACGACCACCGCGGCTATGAAAGCAATTACAGCAACAGAATCTGGTGGAATGGGGAACACTGTAAATATAAACATCAAGACAAGTAATGAGAGCTTGGTCGCAAGCCCCGAAACAATTCCCCTCCAAGGATCTACCCAATCCTTGCAGGACGAAACCCCTACCCAGAGGTCCCTCGGACCCCGGCTAGCTAAATCCTATTTCTAAGGACCCATTGAAGTGTAAATGGTCCTTCCACTTAACGGGGGAGGTGTTGTATATGCGTTATTGTTGTATAAGAACTATTTCATTTGGTAAAGGTGTTGTATACGCTATGTTATTTCATTAGCATTTACTCTTAATATGTTATTTCATTAGCATTTAACTTTAATACAAATGTAACAGAAATGGTAGCGACACATGAGGACGCAAGCAGGCAGTCGAGATAACCAGGGTGTCAGACACGTGACCTCCGTCTTAGGCAGCTGTGTGGCTGCTAAAAAGCACGTACAAAATAGGGTCCAGGGAGAGAAGCCCACACAAAAAAGAGGCGAGACATAAGCAAGTAAACTAACAGAGCTCTGCTCTGAAATATTCCTTACGACTGGTGGTGTTATTAAAACAAAGAATGAAAACAGTCTGATGCAGACGGAGCGAGAGACTAGTCGTTGACCGAGATAGCGGCTAGGTAGAGCCAAGACAGCCTTCCCTCCCTGGAACCCTAGCTATCAGTCCTCAGGTGTAGCGTACATGTGTAATCTACAGAAATTAGTTAATAAACTCAATTTGCTGATTACGCCACTCTTGTCGGATCAAACGATCCTCCTCTGTCAACCCGCCTACCCAGCGATTTCCACGCGCGCCCCAGCCTAGGGAGCACCAGACCTAGACCTGACTTGTGCGCCGGTAACATCCACGATACGCCAGCGCCGGGCATCCAGCGAGGAACTTCGGGATACAACAACCCATCTAGAAAGAAAGGTGGTTGAGTCATGAGTGTGTAATACAGTTCTCTGTTTCCTATTATGTAAATATGATTTCAGCCATTTCAAAATACATCCTTTAATACCATAATGTTCTAACTTTTGGATTAGTAGGTTGTGCTTGACACAATCAAAAGCCCTTGTAAGGTCACAAAATACACCTACCACTAGTTCTTTGTTATTCCATGCCTTACAAATAGCTTCTGTTAGTTTGAAGATAGCATTTTGTGTAGATATACCATTTCTGAATCCAGATTGCCCATCCACAATAATATTATTGTTTGTCAAATGTTGTTTTAGTCTATTAAAGACTAATATTTCAAATAATTTAGAAAAACCTGTCAATAAAGAAATAGGCCTATAATTAGATATTTCAGATGTATCACCTTTTTTAAAGCATGGTATAATGTCAGCGTATTTGGTCAATCTGGGTATATACCTGTTGTTAAGGAAAGATTGTAGATGTGAGTAAGGGGCTTAACTTAATTTTAGTATGCATATATTACTGCGATAGAAAGTTTTGTTCGTTTATGTGTTGAGAGATATTCACGTCTCTGGGATGTTCATACATACATGTATTTCACATTGCACAAGTCCAAAATACAATGGACATGAAACTGGCCACAAGTATAACACAAATAAACAAGGCAGAAAGACAATACAAAGCTAAACAAACACTAATGTTTTACTGTATGCTCCAAAAATTCATCGACTGTATAAAATGAGTTATTCATGAGATATTAAAATAGATTATTTCTGAAAGTGATTCTATCTTTTCTAAAATTTTGAATGGTATTTGGCAATCTATGAAATAACCTAATACCAGTAAACATAGTGCCCTTCTAGAAAACAGAAAGATTTGAAATTGGAATATAAATTTGATTTTTGCTTCTAGTGTTCAGGTCATACGTGGGAGCCTGAGAAAGACGCATGCCAGGTTAGTTTAACACAGCTGTTGTACAGATGTCTGTTGATAACTAATGTGCATCAGAACTGATCGCCACATTATAAACACACATCGTTTGCATTAAACACATTTAGAATACACCATAAATAAGACGTGTTTGTAGTTCATGATGATAGAAGTATTATAATGAGAACTTCTATGGTACAGTTGTAAACTGTGCATTAAATGTACAAGAATGGAGTCTGAGGCCCTATGATTGTAACAAATTCTCCATCAAAATTTGGTTCTTGAATATATTAAACCTCTAATGATGAGGTGTTAGCTTTTCCATGCTCTCACATAATTCATAAATTCTTAGCAGTTTGTACTACGTGAACAGTCAGCATTTTGAAGTTGAAAGTTGAAACTGAGATGAAAATTAAATAACCCCCCCCCCACCACCACCAAAATTCAGTGTGGCTTAGTATTAAGAGCTGATGCCACACATTATAAATGAAGATAATTTGTGTTCACATTATTTTGTATTCATCTCTTATATATTTGTCCTGATTCTACTGCCCCTTCTTATTTTACATTAATTTATATAGGTTAGGTAGTCATGACATGCATGGCAAAATCATGTCTGGAAATGCAGATTATCTGGAAAAAGCCCTAGCTGTGGGAGTAATCAATGAAGATTTTGATCCAATGATTCCACCCGCTACTGGGGAAGAATACATCCAGAGGGTGGTGTAAGTATTGACTAAAACTGAAGTACTTTACACAGTACAGAATAGTTGTGAAGATGATCTGACATCCCAAGCACCTATTTATTGTTTATTGAGGTTGTTGAATTGAGTTCATGACTCAGAACTGTTCTCACTTTGTGTTCCATTTATTGATATTTGTTTAAGAAAATAATATAGTTAACATACATTTATGTGTATTCTAGTATTTCCTCCTGCTAGGTCCAAATATTATCCTCAGCAGCTTGTTCTCAAGCAGCTTCAGTCTGCGATGATTATGGTCTTCTGAGATGTGACACCATATACAGTAAATTCCCTGTCCATTATCCGGAACCAGCAAGAATACAGTAACTTCAAAAACAGACATACATTACTTATGTCCTCCAGTGACAGGGTGGTCCATTATAGCCCTGAGGCACCAGATTCCCTTTCCATCACTTATGACACAGGACTACAATGGAGGTATTCTAACCTGTCTCCAGATGGGAATGAATTTCATTCAGCTTCTGATAGTGCTTCATGTTAACATTTGGGCTTTCTGTCTATTAACACAACAATTTTTGTTTCTTCGTTTGCAAGATGCTTTTTATGCCAAACTTGAACTGTGGGAAGTTTTCTTCTTGCACTTACTGGTGGAATTTCACATCACACAGCATTCTTATAAAAGCACACGATGTGCAATTGTATCGATGACTTACACAAAGGAACTGTAAACTGAATCACATATGCATATCTAAGAGTATGAGTTTTCTCTTACCATTGTTGCTGACTCATCAGGGTAGGCTGAAAATGATGCAGTGATTCCACATAGTTAAAATCCATCTTCTCATTCAGCCTATAAATAATGTCACTGTAGAAAGGTATCTTCAGGTGTTCTGGCATATAAATCATAACATTGTTGTACTTTACCTTGTATATGTATTAATTACATTTTGGGCAGAAGATGTCTTCACATTAAATGAAAGGTACAGTATTATGAATAGTGAATGAACCAGAGATGGGAAAGGAAGCAGTTGTCACTAACTTGCATTCACTGGAAGAGCTGAGGAGGGTCACAGAATATACCAGTCAGGATATCCAATTCTGACTGAGATTCAGAGTGGTACCTCCTATTAAATTAATGTATAGAGGATATCATCCCTGCTGTGTGTTGTAATGTTAATGTGTGTACCTTAAAGAGGAACCATTTGTCACTTGGTTCTTAAAAGGCTTGTGAATTATATTTTCTTTAGTCATCATCATCACCCTTTTCATTATTAGGCGTGTTGAATCCTGTTATGAATATCACAAAACAGAATCATTCTATTGTTTTAGATGTCCCCAAACCTTTAGGTTAAAATTTTATTAACTTTCCTGGAATCATATCAGAGCTCGTCCTGTCAACACATTCTTTCAAATTTCTTTTGTATTCTATAAATTCTGTTAAGAATTTGTAGTTCTCTCATTTGTTGTTATGTTTTAGTATTTACTGTTTTATTACATAAAAACTCAATTGCTTCTCTTCCAGTTTGGAGGCTTCAAAATGTGAAGATGTTCTAGTTGCAAGTGTGGATAAGTCTCGATTCAAGGAGCAGACCGTGAATATAGATGTCGTAAGTTGATGACAGGCTGAACCACTTTTCTGCAATTGCAGCAGTTTTCTTTCTGTATTAATTGTATGACATTTTTAATATCAAATAATAAAATCCTGCATCATTCATTGGTTTTATATTTTCAGTCCATAAAAGAACCACCTTTGATTACTCCTTCCATTGAATGGCAGCAGTGTCAGGTAGCTGATTTTTCTTCGGTACGTCAAAACTTAGCAAAGTACAGGTCCATGGGCATCTTCAAGCCATCTATATCATTGGTATGTTGAACAATTCAAAGCCTTTACTTCTTTCCCTCGTTGTTTCAGCACATAAACTGACTCATTAAAATGCTAAGAATTACTGTTTTATAAATAAATACCACAAAATTGTCAGTATGGTTCTTATGAAATAAATTTTCTAAATTAGAACTTTAGACCTTCTCATTTTATTTAAATCAGAATGACTATTTAAATTTAATACTTATTTTAGATATGAAATTTTTAATGTTATATTTTAGCGTCCTGTTACACTGATTCATGTCCATGGTTTATGCTAACCGTCTTACAGTGTATACACTTTTTCACCTTATTCTTCACTTCCACACTACATGTTTCAGCACTAATGTGCCATCCTCAGGTGTCTTTATGCACGTTAAACTATTGTACTGCATGCCATGATGTCCTCATTCTAAAATGACTAAGATCTGTATTCGGCATATATGTCGATGAATTCTAAATAATACAAATTTTCAGGATTCATCCTACGTCGCACTCAGACACGCGAATTACGCCAATCCTCTTTTATGTGAGCATTCTTCCTACATACATTTGTGTATTGTGTTCTGTGTTGTGTTTTGCTCCTGTTACTGCATGCGTTGTACTGCTGGATATCGAGCAGTACAAATACACAAATATATGAGGGGGGACCCAAAATAATCGGAAACGACCTGTTGTGCGCGCATGCTTTGTAGTTACGAGTTGTGCTGCTAGGTGGTGTTAGCTGGGGGTCTCCCGCGACTGTTAGTGAGCTGGCGTCAGTCTAAGTTAAGTGGTTTGTCTGTGGTGCTCTGTTGTTTGCGTTCCTGTTTCAACCCTTTGGCGATTAGTGAGATGGCCGACCAGAAGGAACAAAGAGTGTGCATGAAATTGATGAAGATCGTCGAAAGACCATTGACCAACTTTCTGAGGAAATGAACATCTCGTGGAGCACGGTCCAGCGAATTTTAACTGAAGGTTTGCACATGAGATGGGTGTCTGCAAAATTTGTTCCTCGCTTTCTCGGAGATGACCAAAGAGAAAACCGCGTGAATGTTTGCCGTGACTTGAAGAGTGAAGTGCAGTTTTTCCTAACAGAAAGCAAAATTTCACGCACACTCTTTGTTCCTTCTGGTCGGCCATCTCACTAATCGCCAAAGGGTTGAAACAGGAACGCACACAACAGAGCACCACAGACAAACCACTTAACTCAGACTGACGCCAGCTCACTAACAGTCGTGGGAGACCCCCAGCTAACACCACCTAGGAGCACAACTCGTAACTACAAAGCATGCACGCGCAACAGGTCGTTTCCGGTTATTTTTGGGTCCCCCTTCGTATGTAGGAAGAATGCTCACATAAAAGAGAATTGGCATAATTCGCGTGTTTGAGTGCGATGTAGGATGAATCCTGAAAATTTTTATTATGTAGAATTCATCGACATATATATGACGAATACAGATCTTAGTCATTTTAGAATGAAGACATCATGGCATGCAGTACAATAGTTTAACATGCATAAAGACACCTGAGGATGGCACATTAGTGCTGAAACGTGTAGTGTGGAAGTGAAGAATAAGGTGAAAAAGTGTATACACTGTAAGACGGTTAGTATAAACCATGGACATGAAATTTTTAATTAAATTAACATCCTGAAATATCACTTCTCAAGTTCTTATGTGAGGCTGAAAGAAGAATGGATTGTGGGAAGTTGTGATCTGTCTCTGACTCAGAGAATAAAACGGTACAAAGATCAGAGGTGTGGTTTGGCTGTTAATATCCATTTTAAGTTGTTTGGCAAGGCTATGATACTGCTTCCCATATATTTAAGACCTTTTCATTAACAATTTTTTCAGTTTGTGTTGTTTAGAAGAAGAATAATTTGTATTCATCAGGCTGAGAAAATGCAGTGAAATGTTAAGTCTCATTATCTTAAAAAAAACACCATCTGCATTGCATTATGGAGTATGCCTTATAAAAGTATTCTATGTAATGCAATATTGTATGAATTGTAGTCTTGAAAGCTCAACTATAATGCTTGGTATTTAAACTTTCTAGTCCTCCACGTTGGGGGTTGGGCACAATGCTGGCACCCTAGCTCTGTAAAAAAAACAGTTGTGAAATCCAAAGAAGTGAAAACCAGATGCCATCTGGCAGAATCTAAGGAAGGCTATGGCTTGAAAAGGGCTGTTTTGCCAATGATAAAGATTATCTGGGGGGAACAGGTTACATGACTTCAGGCCAGTCTGGTATGAATGTAATACCAAATTTATCTTGAATTTTCTTGGCGCTGTTTCAGCAGGCCTCCTGTTGCAGTCTTAAATCGTGTTATTGCTAAGTTCAAATCTGGCCACCAGTGCTGTAGTAGTAGGAGATACACATCCAGACATTACAATTTAATTAACTACATGGTGCAGGATTTCTTTTGGAAATCTGTTAGTTGCTAAGCTGGTCAAGAAATTCCCTGCCTTTATGGAACCAAGGGGTTTATTTCCATGATTACAAAAGACTCTCATTGGATTCTATCCTAAACTAGTTGAATGTAGTCCTTAATTTCACATCTTGTTTTTCTAAATTGTATATTAATATCCTCCTCTCTCTGCATAAAGTATATTCTTTGCTCGAGTTTTACAACTTATTTTCTGTGTATTTTCACATATCATGCTTCTCAGTTTAATCAATCTAATGATATTAGAGTGTGATTAACTTATTGCATAGTACTGTGTCCTACATGAAGGCAATTCAGCTTCTATGTCTTTCAGCCAGCAAGAAAAGATGAAGCAGGTTGGTACTTGCTGTGTTTTGGAAGTGAAACTGAGCCAGTAGAAAGTGGAGCATCCAATGGCGGTGTTCCACCATTGTTGAGCATTCTCCTGTCAATGAATCAGGTACACATATTTACTGCATGTATACATGTACGTATACTATTAGAATCAATCAACTTGCATACAATTTGAAAACTAAATGTTTCAACCATTTGTTGTGCCACTTAAATACACACTTATTTTCATTCATTGTTGTAATAATAAAGGAATCTCTAAACCTTCATTGGTGCATTGGCAAGCCTGCAGTTGTTACCTGGGCTTCATGTTGTTGTATCGCTAGAATACTCCTTTATTTAGATCCAACTTTTAGCAGCTGTGACACAGATTTCCTCGCTATACTGTACCTGTATAGCCCTATGTTGTGGTTCTCTACTATGAGGTATATATTCATCTATGCCAGCAGTGTTATTGTCATCATGAAAGGATCCGCTCACGTCCATCTGATTCTTCTGTCACTATAACGTTCTTATTTGTTTATGGTTTTGCAGCTTTGATATAGTGGCATCTGATATACCAAAATTAATAGAAGTTTCCTTGTGTACTTATCAACAGGGGAATATGATTATTATAAATTTCAACACACTTACCAGCCAGTATCATTACATTAGTGCGGAAAGTGACCAAAAAATATAACTTTCTCATGTGATTATTATTTAGGGGTTGGATGGAGACGGATGATGTGGACCACCACTTAACTGCCTAATATCATGCTAGTGGACGAGAGCAGGATCTTGTATTACTGTCAGTAGAATAAATGATTTCTCATATTCATACTGGGAGAAATTTGGAGGACTAAAAAGGAAACTGAATAGGAGTCCGCTTGGAGAGTGATTGTGATGAAAACACAGCTGCAGCAGATAATAGCAGCAATGCAAATGGAAGCCAATATAAAATTTGGTTGAAACCCACAATACCCTTGGTATTCTGGTGGTGTCATTCATTTTTTTTTATGTCTGTGGATCTAGGGTAAGAGAAGCACAAGTGAACAAGGATTTTATACCAATTACCATCTTTCTCCTTTTTGAATGAAGTTGCAGAGATTAATAAATACTACCAGTACAGCTGATACTTAGAGATACTTGACAGCAATGACGTGCTCACAGTTTCATGACATGACTACAAGAGATGCACATTTTTTGGCTAATAATATTATAAGCTGACCATGATATTAGGGACACAGTGAAAGATTACACGTTCATTCTTGAAACATTTCTGTATCCCATTTTACAGTAACATGATGAAATGTGACTGAAAGCTGCATTTATTTTTATGTGTTATTGACAAGAAAAGGGGTTTTGACTGGTGATCAGTTTTATTGACAAGTTATAACTTGAAACTACAGGTAACTTTAACAGTTTCAGTAATATACACACGCTAAATCACTGTACTGCAACACACTCAAGTCTTGTGTGTCTGCCAACAATGGAGATTCCTCAGTTTCCATACATATTTCCTTACCAGCTGGTGACTGTCTCACAACTCCTCATGATGGCAGCTCACTAGTTACCCAAGCTGTCAACTACTACCAACCGCAACTGGCCAAGTTACATCAATTGCTCTCACTGTATAGCCTCAGCACAGGCCCCATAGAAAATAACACCATCAGCAGTTCTTCTGTTGTTTCAGGCCGTTGCATAGCAATGGCTCACTTGTTTATTGAGCTGTTCCCACACAGCAGTGTTTGGTCATGTCACAATATTGAGATTTATATATGAAATCATCGAATCAGTATGAATCAACCAGAGAAGACTGAAAAGAACTATGACAGAGTGGAAAATTAGATTCCTCTTTCATAAGCTCATAATACCTGTACTAAATTTTACTGTTATTTTCAAACAATACATTTCTAATAAATATAAATACTTTTTGGCTAGGAGGTGTACATACTGTGCAGCAACACTTGCTAACTTACAATATAAGTGTATACTTGGGAAAGAACAGACAAAATGCAACACAGTTAATGACAGTTACACATGTGAAATGCAAGATAGATGATCAAACATTATCTCTGACTTAGTTCTTGAAGATGGTGAGGAATTAGTCCTTGTGTACCTCGTCCTCAGTCCAACCATTCACAATTAAGACAGATGCCCTGCCTTGAAGATTGATACATCCATAATTATCCTGCTGCAGTATTGGTCATGTGGTATTGCATATGCATGGACAAGAATGAACAACCAAATGTATGTGCTCAAATTGTAAAGTCTGCCATAGTATATTTCTGCATTTTTCATATTTACCATGCAAAGGTGAACTTGTAAACCAAATTTCCTTCACAACATGGTTATGAAAACCTTTCCAGAAGTGTGAGAGCAATGCATTTGGATTTAGATACATAATCTTTTTTTTTCACTTCAGGAATCTACAATTTTTTGAACAGTGACTTTTATAATAGTGACAAGTAGCACTCTAAAATCTGGCCATGTATTTTCTTTCAAACATTTCTTTACTACAATGTTTTAGCAGTTATTCTATGTAGTTCCAAACATAAATATACATATCTTCAGTACTGCTAGCATTACCAGTATAAACCAAGTTAAAATCAAGTAACCAGCCTGACATTTAAAGCCTCTAGCCTCATGAAATAAAAGTTATTATGTTAAAATAGTTGTTATGGTAAACACTTTTAATTCAAGTGTACTGATGACAAACTGTTTATAGTTTTGGAAAAATAATAATAGTGTACTTTAATGCATTCCTAACTCCAGCTAGTTCGACTATTTTTTACAAGCAGAGTATCCTCTCCATTCTAGCCATTGGTACATGAAGTTCTTGAATACCATGTGGAGTGGCTGGAGGAAAAGTCAAGTTTATCTGTACAGCAAGGTCAGTGGCTGTATTCACTGCTTGCTTGCCTTGAACTGCCACTTCTTCCAGAAACATGCAGCTTGCTACGTACACTAGCACGAGAGTGTTCCAGGCTTAGAGTGTCATTGGTAAATAAAAGTTATTTGAAATCACATAATGAATTCTAAACTTCCATGAAAACGTTTTTATATAAAATAGAATATTTTTAAAAATACAAATGTTTTCTGCTCTTTTACAGAAATCTGTAGACCATCCATCTTTAGCACCACTCACCCTTATAATCTGCCTGGTGGCAAATTACTTCCGACAGATGGATCTTGCAGACACAGTGCTATTACAATAATAGGATCTCACCCATTGATATCCTTATGAATCTTCACAATTATGTTAATGTTGACACAGTTATGAGACTACTTTGGTTGCAAAAGTGTTTCTGTTCATAGAGATATTTTTTAATTTTTTGTTATTGAATTAGCAGCACCTTTAATACAAATACTAACTTTTTGTCAGAAATATTTGTGTAAATATGAAGAGATACATTTAAGTGCTGTAAACATGTCATAAAATGTTATTCATATTCAGTGTTTATCTTCTGTCATTTTTACTTCAGCCTCTTCGGTCTTCCTGCATATAATGGCCTTAGTGTTGAGTACTGTTTGACATTGGATAGCAAAGGGTGAACTCAAGAAATGACTGTATTCGTAACAGTAACTGCTGTGACAACCTTAAAGCTGCCTTGAAGTTGTTCACATTAAGCTTTCTTGGTGTGTCATTTTTTATGCTGAGTTTGGTCTGTGGTTCCTCTCTCAGGGTCAAAATGTGCAGGTTGGATTAGTGTTCATCTGTATATAGGTTATTCAGGATGCAGGACATATTGCAGCCGGCTCCCCCAGCGACCCCTGTTTGGGCTCTTCACCAGAATGTGCTTTGACGTACAACCAGACACCTATGTTCTTCTTGCTTGGTACCAGAGAAGAGGAACCCAGATGAAGTGTAAAGTATGCAACACATACAGTACAGGTAACTCATGGTCATCACACATTCCTGCTATCTATGATTTGTTGCACTGCATTACAAAAGTAATCATCTGTTGTATAGCAAAGGATGTTGGTGAGAAGATTGTGTTTATCAACCACATATGCTGTTTGACAATGTTGGAACCCCTAAGAATTGCAATTCATGGCTTCAGAAGTCAGAAATGAGAACAAATCTGTATTAAATACAATAAAGAACACTATAATTTAAGAGATATTTTCATAGGAAAAGTAGAGATTGGTTAGGTTAATTTGGAAAATACAGGCATTCTAGCAGAGTCAGTTTACATGAGGGTCCCAGGAATGTTGGAATGCCAAGAATAATATTGTAGCGTGTTTGGGTGTGTCACGCTACAAATAAGTTGACGCCGTCGTCTGATATAGCGAGTTTATTCTGTTCGCTCACACTTTACACACACTTTACAGGCATTTTCACTTGCAGTGTCACAATCACTGCTTACAATATTCCAGCGATACTGGACCCAGACGGATATTCCGAAGCTTCTTCTCCGATGGCTGTTCCGCGACTGACTCCTTCGAATGCTATTCCGAGACGCTTCTTCGGAGGCTTGATCACGTCTGGCTTCTTGGCTGTCTAATCCGAGACTCTGTCTTCTTCGACGGATGTTCCTGTACTGACTGTTTCTCGTCGAAGCTGGGCTTTTATAACTTGCCCGCTGTTAGGCAACGAACCCTTTGTCATAACGGTGGAGACGTTGCATTGTCGGTTCCGCGTTTCCTACGCAATAACCCATTGTTATCGCATTGTCTCTGTGGAAACGCTTCGCGTATTCGTCACCGTGGAGATTCCTGTTAGATCTACAATGGAGCGATTGTTGTTTCCTCTGTAATGGTCTATTTTAGCGTTTCCATAGCAGTTACTCCTCTGGTTTGCCGACACGTTACAATATGATGCACAGTTTCCACTGGATGGTAAAAAAACCTTGATTTCAGAGGCAAATTTTATTAATAAACTCAACTCAAATTAATTTGATGTACTGCACAAGAAAATATTAACTATGTAAGACCCTAATTATGAGCATGTTTAACATGCATTTTTACAGTCATAATGTGACAAGTTGGTATTGTACTGAAACACACTCTACTCATTAAGATATTTAAACTAAAATACTGTACTACAGTTAGATTTAACTTCAGCATCAACTCATCCTTTCGTACATGTACTGTCTGTAGTGGCTGTTACGGTTCAACTAGATGTGTGTTGGTAGATGGTGGTGATGATTATGTTATGTGATTAATGGACGTTGGAGGTTTAACTGTAGTCAAATCTATGAATTCTTAATGTACAAAATGAATACTGATGAATTAATAGATATGTACTGTAACGTGAATGTGTGTCAATTGTGTACCCATGAACAGAATGCTCTGCATCCCCTTTTTGCTGATAATGAAGACCTGCCCGCCACAATTAAGGTTTGGTCTCCTTGCATACAGATTAGCTTTGAATTAATCATAACATGTATTAATATAATCTATGCATCATGAAGTGCTCATGAAGAAGTTGCCCGTATCAAGCAAATATGGAATTTTTAAGGAGTCTAAATTACTTTCCAAAAAATGAACTAAAGGAGCCTCATGTTTGTCATGATTTAAAATACTGGAATGGGTCAAAATTACGTTCACTAGTAAGTAGAACTCTTAGGCGGCCTCCGTAGTCTAGGGGTAACATTCCCACCTCATGACTCACAATATGCAGGTGAGCCGATCCTTTCGGCTCATTGGTTGTAGTGCCCTCTCTGAGTGGTGGCGGCCGCGGGTCACACCGTTTTTCCTTACTTTTCCTACTACCTATCCTTATTCCGTGGCGTATTCTACGTCATCACTCCTCTATCCTTTGTGATTCGGCTGAGGCACCCGGTCTCTTCTGCCTGGAAAGTCATCGTGTATGGACGTCTCGCTCCGTAACTAAATTCTGTTTGGGTCGGCGCCATGAAAGATTCGGTTTGGTAGCTAAACTCCAGGCAGGAGGGCCCATCTCAAGGTAATGCACATAATCTAGCGTACTGATTATTGTTCTTGGAGGAATTGTGTAAGCTGAGAATGTATATATAGGTGTTGTCTGTATTGTGTGTGCAGGCGATTTCAGAGATGGTATTATGCTAGCGTGAAGTTTGTTATTAAGTATGCCTTTATGTCGCTTGTGGTGGAGACAGCCTGTGCGAGTTGTGATAGGATATCTTTTGGCTGATTATGCCGATTAATTGTTGTGTTTTCTTTTGGCACAAATTACTGGTCATATATTAAATGTTATTTGATTTTCTTGTTTACTTCTTGTTTTTTTTTTCTTTTGCGTAATAGACAAGAGAACACCCGTTCCCCAGCTGGTGGGGTGGGAGCTCACCGGTTCAAACCCGGCAGAGATCGTGGAATTTTTAAGGGCGGAAAAAATTCAGGGAACAAGTCCTCCGGCAGGGACTTTAAGCTGTGGGTCCCGTGTCGTAGATTTACAGCACATAAAAGAACATGATGTCTCTAGGAGACCTCTGAGATAATTAAACAAATTTTCCTGCCCAAGTAGTTTCCAATGCCTCCGGTAGATGGGGAAAGTATTAGGTACCACTGCCAGATGAGGACCGACCTCGCTGACAGAAAGGGACTAATTATCAGATACCACTGCCAGTAGAGTGCCGACTTCACTGGCAGAAAGGGGCTGATAACAGGCACCAGTACCAGTAGGGTATGGAGACAGTAGAAATTAAAGGGGGATGCACAATGGACCAATAACTGGTCTAAGTGCTTGGGGAAACCCACCTCCTCCAACAACGAATGAAGTAGAACTCTTATCTTCTACCTGTTTAATTAATCCAAAGTTGCTTCTGATCTCGTGTGATTGGACCTTATCGATTGAGAGTAATTTAAGAAAGAATTACGATACCCTTATGGGACCTTTCAAATTAATATAGATACTGTATTCTCTCTTAAAATGGTCTGGACGTTTTTTAGTCACAAATTTATCGGTTTATATTTTGGCCACTCACCTCCAACTAGTGACAAGGTCAAAAACCTGTTTATCTATACAACCAATTTCCCATAAACCTTCATAGCGTAGTGCTTAATTAGTTTAGCACAGAGACAACTTTACCTTTATCGTAAGCGGAAGTAAAACAATTATTCAAATGATTCTCAACTTCCCGCTTATACGAATTCCAGGTCCATCTCGAGGGTCCATTTATACCAACATCTGCATCGAGAAATTCATAGCTTTTGCAGTCAGAGTCACGTTGCAACTGACGGTCGGTCAGTCTGTCTGTCTTGGTGTCTAGCCCCAGCTGGGGCTCATGACCAGATATTTCTTTTGAATGAAAGTTACTGTCTTGTCTATGTGTAGCGCCCTCTCTGACGAGAGGTCGGGTCTGTCATTTGTTAGTCAGTCTGTATTAATAAGTCCACTGTCTGTATTTACACATATTTACAATACACACTTATTTCTTATTTAAATGTACAATATATACATGGCCTCTGTTAGTCTAGGCTAGGTACAGCAGATTATGCCCTTTATATATATATATATTTCCCAGTATTATTAGCTACCACGGCAGTCTAGTCACTTGAACGGTCGTATGCCTGACCGCTGCCAAGTTTAAGCCTCTTATACTTTCTGTGGCGAGCTTCGCCTTGTCCAATGTTGCGAACATTCTCATTATCATGATTTTGTATGACTTCTGCTTGTTGCCTTCATAATTTTGTTAAGTAATCGTATGCGTACGGGATTTTGAATGCCATGTGCAAATCGCGGACCGGTGTGCGCC